AGACATGCTGGGAGTTGTGGTTTCAGATGACTCCAAGCAGTTGAAATTCTATCCTCAGTAGCCGCAGTAGCGGCATTTCACCATCCGAGTTTCAGACCTCGAGGCCAAGTCGACCTGGCCGCGCCGTATAAAAAATACAACAACATCGCACCCTGTTTCCGCAGGTATTGGGTGCTTCCAAAAGCACAAGCGCCTCCCCGGCGCCCGAAGAAGACCTGGCGACAAAATCAAAAACCTGGAAAACGGTTGTTGTTTCGATGAGAAAAACCTGCTGCCAGGATTGATGTGTTTCTTTTCTTGAGGCGTGTTCTTAAATTTAATGAATTTAGTTATGTATATAATGTCTTGTTGGTCTGTGTCAAGGAAACTTGAATCTTCAACTCTCCCAATGTCCCGAAGTCCAGTGTCACTGAACACATGACAATGCCGACAATCATCTGAACTGCCCATCTCTTTGCTTACATCTCTTTTCACACCTTTCACACCTTCAACTTTGCCAGGAGCACCGGCCAGCCATGTTTCTCTGGCTGAGTTGACTTTGCTCGGTGTGTATTGTGTGTATGCTTGTTCGGTCGGCTGCTTGCTGTCTGCTTCTTGCGGAAAATGTGAGGTGCTCGACAAAAGGGAAGAGACTGACTGACTGATAATGACAATATCTGACCATCAGATTAGGCCTTGTGGATCTTGAAGGATCAGCTACTTGAGACGGGAAGAGAGCACACCCATATGACAGCTGTCAATCTCAAGGCTCGTAATGTCAATCTCAAGTAGCAAGGGCTATCAAATATCCTCTTGGACTCCGCTCCGGTCACCGAAAACCACCCAGGACCCCTCCGGTCACCCTTTCCCGCTCCGATCTCGTTCTCTCTCAGCGGGCTGGCGCTCGGCTGGCGCGATGGGCGTGTTCACCCGCCGCTGATGGGCGGGATCAGCGCGATCTCCGAGCGGTCGCTCAGGGCCTCGGTGACGTCCGAGGTGTGAAGCAAACCGGAGATGCCACAAGAAGCGACCTGAAGCACTGGCAGTGTCAGCCTCATTGTTGATCATCTCCTGACACAGGCGCGGAATGGTCCGTAGTTCAAATGCCCGGAATGCCCGGACCCGCGCAGCTTCGCGGTGTGCACTGCCGGTTTGAAGCTTCAACCAAAGTTGATCTTTTGTTTTCCGCTTTCAAAGCTACAAGCTACAAGGAACTCTCAACGCTCAAGTTTCATGTTTGGCTCAAGAAGGGAAGGAAGAAACAAAGATTCTTTCAACACAGGCTTTCAGGAACTGACTTACTGGATTCTCCCTTTTTGTTGAAGATGTGGCCGTCGATTCGCTCCTGGTCAACTGAAAACTTGCTCATCTCCAGGAGACTCTTTAGTGTCGGACACTGCTTCAGCATCGCCTGAAGGATTTTCACGCGGAAAATGTTGCCCAACGAACATTCCCATGTTTTGCAAGATATGGCACCTGCAAACTCTCTTGCGTGTCACGAACTCCTGGATTCAACAGCTTGCGTATTGATGCAGTGGGCCTACTCAAAGGGTGCGATCGATACTTCAGGAGCAGCAAAGAGTTTGTGCGCTGTGGGACCTTTATGGAGCAATGATTGCTTAAAGATGCTGTCCACCGGCACATAAAGGCAGAAGATGAAGCAGGGCCGCGCATGTCATGTTTGCGGGTTGAAAGAGAAGCTCTTCCTATCCCTTTTCGTGGAGGTGCCTCTCGCAGGTGGCACACCTTGGAGTCATCTGGAACCTGAAACTGCAGAAAATGGCTGACCGCATGGCGGGTCTTCCGACCGGGAGATGCTGGTTCGTCCCATAGATAAACAGAATAGACTGGGAGATCAACCTACCAGGTGAGTTCCGGGCTCCAGGTTTTGACCCAAAGCCACATGTGTCACAGTCTGAACAAAAAGTAGTCCCAACCATCACGAAGTCAATGCCCTTTTGACCCGTCGCACAAGTCAAATCATGTCTCCGAAAGTTCACGGAAAAGCGGCTATCTAAGACAAACACAACGAACCAGCGTCGTTGATCAATGTCTGGAAGGTCATACCCCAAACCGTCAATGACCTCCGGCAAGAGTCTTGAATCGAAGTACAAAACGAATATGAAGAACAATGTCCTTTTCCGGAATGTCAACTACATCCAGCCAAGGTCGAAAGAAAAAAACAACCTTTGAACGCGGCGGACCCCTGACGTTAAAAGTTGAATCAAATCCTTTGGTGTCCTCCGGCAGTGGGACCTGGGACCTTTGCACAAACGTGAAAGGCGTCCAAGTCGGGATGCACGCCTTGTGGGATCTTGAAGAAAGAGAGAAGAAAGAGAGAGAGAGAGAGAGTTTATAGTATTCCAAGGAACCCTCTTTAAAACATGGGGTGGTTCTAAGTGGTTCTACAAACATTGATGATCTGGAACACGACGGCCAGAGGACGTCCACCTGTTTTCGTTCCAAAGGCAGCTTTCTGCCACGTCCAAGAGCACGATTCGGGCTGGTAGGACTCCTCCACAAATCATACATTTGACCAGTGCAATTTGGGAAAATGCAGTAAGTTGATGGATACTGCCATTGGCGGCCTACCCAACTTGTGCGTTCAGTGATGGTCTCTTCATAGCCATTGCCATTGCCGTGGTGGTCTCTTCATGGCCAAAGCCTGAAGCCGTGGTGGTCCTTTCATAGCCATAGCCATAGGCACAGATGCCCCCGTTCGCCCCGCTGCTTGGATTCAGATCCTCACAACAAACTCTCTGGGAGAGGAAGTGACTAAACGACGACGCCCAGGTCTGATCAACGGCGGCCCAGGTCTCACTCAAGCGCCAGGGACATGTCCCGCTCTGATTGCCACAGCATGCCACAGAGGTAGAGCCAAGCCGAGAAGCACAAAGATAAGCCGAGAAGCACCAGCCAAGCCGACTCTTGGTGCCAGAAACTGCTCACCCAACTCTTCGAGGCCTTGCAGCTCAAGAGGCTCCAAAGACTCAGCTCAGCCAAGTGTTCTTGAGCCAAAAAAGGCCAAGCAATCTATGTGACGAAACCCTCTAAAGTACAAGTGTCTCAGCAAGTGGGCTTTCTTCCTGGCAACATGTATTCTCACAAGCTACGCCGACATGCAAAGGAACAAAGCCTGTTGCACGAGAAGTTCAAGAAGGAAATACCAAGCAGCTCAATGAATTGATTCATCATGCCTCCACTTCCACTTCTTCGCTGCCCAAGGCCTTCGCGGATGATTTGTTCGCTGCCTATGACAGTGCCTAAATGTCATCTTCAGATGATCCTTCCGTCCTAGACCAGTCTGTATACAAAGACAGATGGATGCACCCATGAAAGATCTGCAAATTTGCGTCTGCCTCAAGCAACTAGCCTCTCAAAAGCTCTGCAAGTGTTGGAGCTGGGCAGTTTTCTTCTGATTTGTTTGCGCCTTACTGCTTCTACTGTCAACAGCTTCAACTGCCCATGGAAGGTACCGCTTTTGTGGAACCCGGAAGAGCCCTAAGGGGCAGAGGCAAACAAGGACGATTCCTCGTCCTTGCTTTACTCAGAAATCATAAGTAATACCGTATTAGCAGATCTCGACCTCAGGATCGTCTTTGAAAATTGCAGTCTGTTCCCTGATGCCAGACATTGTTTCCAAAAATGACATCTTGCTGTGTCGTCTATGCAAGTCAACTGGCTTGGCAAAATACGGCCAACGACTCTTTGTGCGAAACCACCCACAAGTATATCCCAAGAACCATGGCTTGTATATGCTTGTACTTTACTAGACAGAGACTGCTAAGTATGTTTGACTGCCTCCAATCTCTGATCAATTGCAAATGTCGTATCAATGCCCTTACGCCACACCCCACCGCACCCAACTCCAAAGAAAGGCGCCACACCCAAGGTGCCCAGCACCGCAGTCCCAGCCGGTTCTTTACAAGTTGCCTATACGCTACTCAAGTCTTATCCTTGACAAAGCTTTCGTTCAATACCCATACATGGAGGCTTAGATGAGCGGCTCAGTTGAATGGATTTCCACTAGCCCTTTCAGGAGTATTTCCATCAGCACGGGGCACTTCGTGTGGCGCAAACTCCGTCGCCGTGCGCTGCCCAAATCCGTCGCGGCCATGGTGGGTCTGATTTTGGAGGCTTCGAAATGACCCATGCTGTGACCAAATCTGCCAAAAGTGTCCGAAACCCCGCTGTGTTGAGCTCTTCCAACTCCGAACTCACCCCGCCTCTCGTGCTGGACCAAATAGCAGCACGCGAAAACCACCCATGGAAATCAACTCAATTGACTCAAGACACTCAATGGACTCACCAGACTGGCTGAAACAAGGCATGGCAAATCCTGGTCGTCTCATGGAAACCCTGATCAATGCACGACCTGACTTTAGGAACGAATTCAGGCGACATGAGACTGATCATTCTGCATTGAAATCGCTTGCGCTGCGGCCGGCGCTGCGGTGCAAAGTTCAGGGACCAGGGATATGCAAACCACAAACCCGTGTTGAGCCTTGTTGATAGCATCTCCTGTCACATGCCTTCTTAAAGTGTAAAACACTCTGAACACAATCCAAGCGAGACAACTCAGGTGCCAGGCACCAGTCCAAAGCAAAACTGGCCTTCCGTTGGCATAAACCCCACCTTCAGCCATATGCACCCACACTGAGTCAGATGTGATAAGTGCTTCTTCACTCCAAATGAGATGCTCAAGCATGCTCAAACAAGAATAAACTCCCTTCGGTCTGCTTTTGGCGCCACGCCCGAAAATGGAGTCGGCCGGAGGACTCAGCTTGGTTGGTGATTCTTCTCATCTTCATCTCCTTTCTTGGTTGCCAGGTAGGTCTATGACAACTTCGGTATAATATCCGTCTGAGTATGCGATTGAAGAGGTGCTCGTCTGACAATCACTGTTGTACTGAATTTGCTCGGATTTTTCCTCATATAGATGCGTTGCCTTGCAAGTTGCTTTGACAAACATTCCCCCCTGGGCCGCACATGTCATCCTCCCAAGGCATGTTTCGCTCAGCTCAATTGTGCGCTGGGTCCTGCCACCGGCGACGTGCACGATCCGAAACTCCACTTCGAATGCGAAACGGAAACGCGTCGAACACGGGCGGGCTCGACATGCGAAAGAACGGGTTCCGTGACACAGGTCCAACAAGCAGAAGGCAAACAGGTCCATCAAGCAAACGCTTTGATTCAGAGCCATGTAGCAGGACTCAGCCGAGGATCCAGCTAGGATGTCCCGAGTCGACGAGTGTTCCGAGGCTCACACCAAGATGTCGTTCCACTTGAAGTCGTGAAACCTCACTTGATCGCATTGAAACAGTGATCTGATCAGGAGATTGCGAGTCAGGTTGGAGACATGGGGTCGACTTGATGTTCATTCTAATCCACAAGTGAGTTGTGTTTTTTCCCCACGTCTTAGTGTGGGGTTCTTCTTTTCTATGTCTCATCCCGCTTCTCCCGCTCCTCCCGCCACACCCACAGAGACACACACCAAGACAACACACACAGAGACAACACACACTGAGACAACACACACCGAGACAACACACACAGAGATCACACACACAGAGACAACACACACCGAGACAACACACACAGAGATCACATACACAGAGACAACACACACCGAGACCACACACACAGAGATCACACACACAGACACAACACACACCGAGACCACACACACA